CTTTAAACCAATCTATTGAAATTTTCTAGGTGTATCGGAATCCACATTGTGCCCTCTGCAACGGTGTGAACAAGTCCAACATGTTCTGCAAATACCGACATAACGACCTTATCCTGCCTAGTCTTTCTGAGATCTTCACCTTCGACTGGTCCTTTAGCGCCTGTAACTTTCCTGAAAATATGAGATGGGATATCTTCCGCAAGAAGTGTACTGCAGTCAATTGCCCGATAAGTGGATCGTGTAAGGTCACCATGTGCCAGGACAAAAAATGCTTCCATCGAAAGCATACCCTTGGCCGTGTTATAGACGGTTATCTAACTTATGCAAGTCTCTCAATTTCAGTTGTTTGCCTTCTCATCCATGTCTACTTAGCCATATTTATCTCTCCTCCAAAGAACTTGCCTTCAAAAGTGGTCAACTCTCTTGCGTGGTCTCTACTGATTGCTCAAACATTATTCTTGTGCGGAATATACTCATTAGTGTCTCTGCCACACGCCATCTGTTACAGTATAGCTGTAACTATACAGTTCTTCTTCCTGGCTTCGTTTTTCTGGATGAATGTCATCAGCTTCGACATATTTCACACTTTTTCAGACTCTTCATTGAAAAACTACACGACCAAAAGTTACACAAAGTATGCCTTGTGGAGTTGGGGAGGAGCTGCTATTATTACTACTATCTCTATTGTAGCTGATTTGACCGATTTCATACCTGACAATTTTAGGCCCCAGTACACAGCGAGGCATAATTACTGCTGGTTTGGTAATTGGGCAGGTATGGGTCTGTTTTTCTTCTTTCCCATCCTTATTACTAATATACTGGACATGGTATTATTTTTCATAACTATCTGCATGTTCAGGAGGATGCAGTGCAATTCTCATAAAATCAACAAATCTGGGAGGAAGGAATACAATAGACTGTGGTTGTATATAAAGTTATCAACAATGATGGGTACCATGTGGGCAGTAAGCATATTAACCTCTCTTTCAAAGAAGCCAGACTATCATTTCCCATTCACTGTTTTAAATGGTTTACAGGGAGCTTTTATCTTCATCATGTTTGACTTGAAAATAACTACTATTTTTAACTACTTTGAACTGATGGCTTTGAAATTTCTTAGTATGGTTGTTAAAGGCAAGAAGAAAGCTTTAGTAAATGATGATGGGAATCATGTTACTATTTCAAATAGCACTATTTCTAGCAGTATAGGATGTGAGTAAACTTTGTAGTTTAACCAGGATTGAGGGTAGGGTAAGGGTTTTAGGGCGATAAATTACAAGATTATAACGCTGGTTAACCAGGATTGAAATACTGCCTTATTCAAATACTTTAGAAAAGCCTGTGTTTAGAAAATTTCTTCTGATACATATAGATAAGTGGATAAGCGTTTCCTGGTGTATAAAAATATTAATATATTAAAAATGTATTAATTTTATTTTTCTTAGAACTTAATAATGAGTGGAAAACCTTATCTTCTATATATGATGTCAAATTTATATGAAATACAATTAATATGCAATGATTTTCACTTTTGTAGTAATAAACAAGTCATCGACTTTATTTGCTATTTCAGACCTGACATAATATCGTTTCTGTATAAATAAGATGGTAAATTACATGGTTTTGGAAGATATTGTTTCTATCCAAAAGTCTGCATAAAGAACAAACACAGAATAGAAGGTCCAAAAAACCTCATATACCCATTTTGGATGAGTTATTTTTGCATTTTGGGTTCACCTGGGAAGCATAGAAAGTTTCAAGACTGAATTTGGCTTTGATGTACATCTCGTAACTAAAAATTGCAACAAATTTTCAAATATCCTTTCATAGAAAAAACATTTTTGCTTGTGTGCCCTGTTTGAATTAACTGCAATTTATACATATGATGCAGTAGAATTTTATTTACAATATTACCAAAAGGACGAGGTCAAAGGTCCTCTAATTAAACTTTATCTATTATCAAATAAATCTTGTATCTTCAATGTAAAAATTAATTAAAACTTGAAAATGGTTTGGTTACCTATTAAGGTAAACTGATTGTGCCTACACCCAAGTTGCTTCCTAAAAATAATTAGTTCATGCACGATAGAGCCAAATTTTAAATATTAAATCAAATTAAAAGTGCAGGTATTTGTCTTAAGAAAATACCTTCCTTTCATTTTGTTGCCTTTCCAACATTGTAAAATTAGAAAAACTGATTGATGGTGCAAATAATAGCTTAATATTAAGGCATATTCTAAAAATCTACTAATACATGCTGAAAATTATATTATTGGAAATCGGAGGTACTGTTTGCTGAAAAAATCAGTACATACATACAAATAAACAGACAATATTTTGTCCTATTTGTGTTTTGTGAACAATGAAATAAGATAGTGAACAATGTGAGATTCCCTTTTTGGGTGACATATCTAACTTAACTTACATCAAACAGTATTTGAGTAAAGGTTGGTTTTGCCTGATTTCATCTGATCTAGATACTGATTAAGTTTAGAGAGCCTCAAAATGTGGCTGCCAATGGCCTCCAAAAATATATTTACACCTTTGTACTGGTTATTCATGGAATTTTAGAATTGTTATAAATCTGTGTCTATGAAGAGTTTCTTGTTTCAGACTTGTAAGAAGAATGCATGATAGTCTGTCTTCAAGTTATATTCCTAAGAAATACATTGTTTGTTCATTGTCCAACAATAATAAACCTGTCTAAGGTTTATTACAAAGAGAAAATCATGAATTTGTATTATATGTCAAATGCTTTACTTTACTTTAAATACCTTGGATTGTTTAATACTTTTTGGTAAGAAAAACAAATGTAAACGAGTATTATTTGAAATCCTTCATGTAGAAGTAACTAAATAAATAATGAAAAAATGTAATAGATTATACTCATTCCACATTTTATTTTTTTAACCTAACTTGCTGAGAAAATACTTCCTAATGATTTATTGATGAATTTATTGAAGAGAAAATGAAAATTTATTGATCTAAATACTTTGATAATGTTACAATCTGAATTATGACAATCCAATCTAAGAATAAATAGGTTTGTTTTACATATTGTTATCCAACAGCACTAAACGATCTGATATTTTCTGACTAAAGTACATAATACATACAGACATCCGTTGTACTATAGGTAGAGATCCCATATGAAGTGTAGGAATCTTGATTAGTTTCTTTCTAGGTATTGATGGGAGAGGAAGAGAAAGAGATAGAAGAGGGGAAAACCATTGCTAGGACTCCCCACTGTTATCTGTACTAAAGTTGCTGGGGATCAATGCTATTTTTGCCTTTGTGGAGAATTCTTAGGATAAAGGTGCATAGGATATTAGACATTAATATGATTCTGCTAAAATTTTAAAGAATCTGAAGATATGAACATTTTAATCAAATACAAGCCTTTTCTGTAATGCAATACTAATTAAAATAACCATTAGTTTTACTTTGCATCTTGGCACAAATATGGGATTTAAAAATAAGATAAATTTACTTAATTATTTTTAAGTTTAATGCATACAATCAATATGTAATTCTTATCATTAATATGAGTGTAAGGACGAGATGGTTGGACAACGTGGCCTATGATGCGAGAACCCTGCTTGGTGTGCGGAATTGGAGAGCTGCAGCAGAAGATAGAGCCAACTGGCGGAGGCTCTTGGAGGAGGCCCAGTCTCGGTGACGGGATGTTGTGCCATACATGAATGAATGAATGAATATGAGTGTAAACAACATTAAGAATAAGGAAAACCTTTACCTGGAGAGTTAGTGTTCACAAAGGTTAAGACCACCAACACTAATCATTATTATAAAAAAATAATAATATTTCTATCATCCTGGCAATAATATAATTTATTTTGAGCAAACTTTTTATTTATTTTTTACTAACTCTGGATCCATCCCCATTTTACAAATTATACAACTATCCATTTAATTGCACTGTCCATTACTTGAAATTTATAACTATAATTTACATGTATTCTTTAGTTCAGATTGTATTATTTTTTGAATATAGTGTAAGCAAGAAAAAAAATCATCACGTCTTTATCCCAAAATTTTATTTTTGGTTATTCCATCTTATATGTAAAATAAAATATTACGCAGTCACTAAAAACTTTTTTATATAACAGACAGAAAAGTTTTTGTTTCATAATTTAATTTAAAAATTAAATTAAAATTGTTATAAAATAAAAATAAAATTGTTTAATAACATTTATATAGAAGATTCATTTATGATTTACACCTTTTATTAAGTTACTCATTATTTAATGGGACAATTAAAATGTTTTAATGTTGCTGTGAGAAAATTCGTTTGAAGAATGGCCCAATTACAGGTGGCAGGGCATTGGAGTCTGCTATTTTAAAAAGCCCTCAAAAGCAAATATATGTATAAAAAGAAAGTACTCTCTGGGTCAGAATGGTCAAATGCCCTGAAACTTAATATCAATTATGCATCCCTGTGTAGAGTCCCAGGTGTCAGCAGACAAGTAAGGGAAGTTGGGTCCCTCTGTTGAATATGCGACAGAGAGCCTGAAACACCAACACATCTTGTGGAAAAATGCCCCACGAACTCCCTCCTTATAACACGCCATCACAACTGAGTAAAACATGGATTGATGAGGCTCATTAGAGAGAGAGAGAGAGAGATATAATGCCTTTTTTGAGGAAGTATATTGCATTCATATAGATAGATCCATATGATATGACGACATATAAGGCATGCATATATTACAACATTTATATATTATTTATAGAACACATCTGCTGTATTTGTATATAATTGTTTTACTTAGTTTTTTTTTTATTGTTTGTCACCTTTTTTCTTCTTTTTTGTCTTGTCATTATTGTATAATTTGTCATCAGAAAGTATGAATTAAGTTAGGAAGATAGATGTGGAAATATGAGGAAACATTAGAGAAATATATAAGAGGAGAGAAGAGAAATGGAATTGGAAATGGAAATGGAAAAGAAATGGGCAGCACCCTTTTATGAAAATAAAGTGATTCTCTCTAACACATCTATATTATTTCACAAACTAAAAGAATTGAAATTAAAACATGCCATCATTACATGAATTTTAATAAGTCTAATCACTAATTGTCTTATTAAGTATGAATGTATGAAAAATTAAAAAATTTTAATTTGGAAAAAAAAAAGACTGACTTGGCTGGTAATAATGCTGGAAAAATGTTTCTTTGGTGAAAACTTTAATTTTTAAAACAAGTAAAAAGACTAGAAAATTTTACAAATATTTATAATAATACAATACAAAAAAAATGTACATATTTCATACCTACATATACATAGTAAAATATTTATAACAAATATATAAATTATTAAAATATATAACAAATATATTAACAAATACTTAACAATAAGCGAAATAGCTAAATCAAATTAACAATAAAAATAAATTCTAATATCTGATTTAGAATATAACACATACAATAATGTGTACAAATAATTTGAGGAATCTCATTTTTCTGATTCCACAAAATTTGTTGTAAAGATTCAGGGGATAGATTTCTTTTTACATATCTGCCTATCTTCTGTTGTTACATTGGACCAATGGTCCCAATTCTTCAGCACTTTTTCAACATTACCTCCAGGGCTAGGCTTTTCGTTAATCTGTGACTGGAATAGTAGTTTGTACTGTTTTGAGATTTCATTTATTCTCAAACCTTCCTCTATAAGAAGTTTTAACATGTCAAACATATCAGAGGATGGGATATTCTTGTTGAAATTACCAATTAAACCAATGCCAACGCTATCACAGTTAAAGCCTATGGTATGGGCGCCATAGATACCCCAACCCCTTCCTTCGTAAATGTAACCATCATCCCCAATCAGGAAGTTGTAGCCGATGTCACAAAAGCCTTTCCTAATGTGATAGCTTTGAATGGTAGTCATTATCCTTTCACATTCTGCCGGAGTTTCACAATTTCCGGAGACTGTATGACCCACTACCACAAATTTAGCTGGACGTACAGTGAGGGGGTCACAATCTTGGAGTTTAGTTCTGAACTGGGACCAATTATATCTTGTCCTAAGTTTCAATGTGTAGTTCAGTGAGTATATGACATCTGTAATGGTTACAAAAAAATCTACATTATTAAATTTACTATAATTCAAGTAAACTGAAATTTTGTAAATAATAATGAAAATAAGTATTATTTTATTAGTCAGTCTTTTACTGCATTAGTTGTATGAATTTGTATGTGATAAAATTTAAGGTAATTAATATAGAATTACTGAGTCAAGGAAGTTTAAGACTGTAAGATTTTATAAAAATTTATTGATATAATTTACAATTATAACCTATAATTATAACAAAACTTACAAAATATTACTAATTCTCAGTAAAACAACCACTTTTAAATCACTAACTTTAATGAAACAGAAATATTATTTTCTTACTCATATTGTGATTTTTTAAATTTCTTAATTGTACTTGAGATATTATTAAAAAAAATGATTAGACTAACTAATGTTTCAGTCAAACCATTTAGGTTAACAAAGATATCAAATAAAAATTTTACTATTTTTATTTTACTTTTTTTTTTTTATCTTTATTTTAATATCTTTGTTGTTGTCCTGTACATCTACAGGCCATTGCCAGTCTGCATGGTTTACTTAAAACATTGATTATAATGAAAATAAAAATTGACAAGGAAATATTTTTCCCAAATTCTGTTGTTAACTAGATATTTATTACCCCTTCTCTCCTCTTGAGATAAAAACTAATACTATATCTGCCCCTGATTACACACACTATCACAGTCTATCTTCTCATATATTAATTACTATTCGGAAATTTAAATATCATTCTACAACTTATGGTAAGTTTGTTTACAAATTATTTTTGTAGGTTTCTTTATCACTATAAACATTAAAATATTTGTACAATTTTTACATCACATGAGAAAATATTTTTACTCTAATATAGAACTTTATCAAACAGTTTCCATAAATGTATATAATTCATGTGCCAGTTTGAGCAATTTTTTTAATAGAGTATTTCCTTTTCAATACATTTCTACCAACTATAAATTAAAAACACACTTAAAAGTGAATTCTTACTGTGTCATTTGACTCTTTTCATCCTAATCTTGTACTATTTACTGCCAATTGTAACCATATGTATACTTAATTCTTATCCATAGCAAATAATTACAGTAACACATATCACTATGATCTTTTTTTTACCAAAAGCATTTCATTAATTTGTCATATTAAAGCTATAAAAACACACACAAATTTAAGTTTTAATAGAATGCTGGATAAAAAATATAATTTCTATAATTTTTAAAAACTATAAACTAGTATCAATTGTATGCTGCTTCAATTTTTTTTTTTCAGGTTTAATCTGATCTTGTTATATTACTTAAATTCAGAATCCAGAGAATAAAGTTATGACATGATTTATGACAAATGAAATTATAATATTTCTGTCATAGTTTATAAAGAGTCAAGTAATATCAATCAATTATTATTATACAACAAATAATACAAGATTAATTTATTCTTGTTGCCATGCAATGAATTGCCTTATAATTTCTCTGAGAAAAATTAGTTCTCTAAAACTCTTACCTTGTTCTTCTTAACTCTGCAAGTTTTATTGAAAAGTATTCAATAGTTCTACATAGTCCAATTATATATCTAAGTTATTTGGACATTTAAAGTCTTCTTTAGTCAATAAAGACCAATGATCCCACTTCTTTATTAATTCTTCAACATGAATTCCGGGGCTAGCCCAGTTGGTTATTTGTGAATGAGCTAAGAGTTTATAAGTTGAGGAAATGTGACCTAAACGGACACCTTCTTCCAGCAGAAGGTTCAATGAGTTTATCATTATGTCTGATGGTTCGTTCAGGTTGAAGTTTCCAACCAATCCAATACCAAGGCTGGAGCAACTGAAACTTATAGTTTTTGTACCAAGTTTAGTCCACCCCCGTCCTTCGTAAATGTAGCCGTCATCACCAATCACAAAATTATAAGAAATATCGCACCGACCACGACCTTTGTGATCATTTTGTATTAGTGTAACTGTAGTTTCACAAGCAAGTCGACTACGGCATGGTAATGTAACAGTATGGCCAATGACGATGTATTTTGCTGGGCGATCGATGGACAGTTGGCAAGGTGTTTCTGAGTTGGATTTAGACCACTGCTGTCTTGTTTGAAGGGCCTCAGTAAAATTGAGAATTCTAGGAGTATCTGAAATCATAATATCAACAGAATGTAGAAATAAAATAGAGAGAAGAGTGAATATATTGGCAAAATTGACCAATGACATATTGGCGATATTGAACGGTGAGTATATTTGTTTCCAAAATATGACAATTTGTCAAACCAAACAGAGAACTGGACTTATCGAACTTATTTACTTATCGGTTCATACCAAGTTACAAATTTTTGATAAATTGATTAATTATTTGCGTATTTGCTAAAATTATAATGTAATTATAAACTAATGGCTGAATGGATGAAAAGTGAGTGATGGCTGAACAGGGATGGAATGTAAAAGTGGAGGATAGGGAATGGCCTTTATATATTTATAGCCACAGCATGGTAATCATGACTACTAATTAATTACAATATTTTTTTAAAATTTGTATTAGAAATTTAAAAATGTATTTATAATATTTCTACAACTTTGATGAATTAGAAAATTGTCAATTTGTTCACTCTTGATATATCTTTGTTTAAAAAAATAAATAAATTAATACGAATCTGTACCTTTATAACCTAAGGAGGATCTTGGGTTAATCTCATGACTTTAGGGTTTTGGGAGAAATAATTTATAAAGTTTTACCCTTCACAGGAAGTTTTCTTTTTAAGGTCAGGAATAAGAATCAAAAGAGTTCCAACTTGTCTGGTGGATGGAACATCCACATGAAACATGAGGAGTATTTTCATTCCTATTCATTATTTCCGTCCGATCAATGTGTTAAATGTGGGGAGAGAGGAAGTTTTTCGGAAATTAGGGGATGTTTCATCCATCAGAGAGGTGGGAAGTATTTTGATTCTCAATCCTGACCCTATAAAGAAAAACTCATGTGAAGGAAAGAACTTCATAAATTATTTCCTACAAATGCTCTTTTTTGATCTAAGGTCATAGAACTATAAGCAGAATTAAAAAAGTTGTTTTATTGATTTTTATCCATAAATATTTAAGTGTTTTGTAAAGATCATTCAATGAAATAATACCATAATGTTTGCACAAATTTATTGTGAAATGATTTCGGTAATAAAAAAAATAATATCAATAGGTAGACATAAAAAAAGTTGAAATAATAAACTTTTTAAGTCTTATCTTTTCCATAGAATGCTCTAAAGCCTCATATCCAATTTGGAATCGATTAAATAATACAAAAAAAAAATATATATATATATATATATATATTAATACCAAGCAACTGAAGGTATATTTCTAACAATTTTGATTTGATAAAAATATTTATCAGTTTTTTAATACATTAACAGATGTGCAAACTATAGAAAGAATTAAAAAGCAACATTGCTGAGGGACAAAGTCTCTGAATATTAATAAATGATATTAGAAATTTCTTAAATTTCATAACTTTCATTCACATTTTTACTGACCAAGTAATGACCATTTGTTTTTTATTTCAACTTGTAGAATTGTTAACCTTCAACCTTTTATTATGGCCATAATTTATAATTTTTATCTGATTAAGCTGTTTTGCGACATTTGTTTACAGCCACTGTTATCTTT